ATCTTTCTCTTTCACTTCTAGATAAAGCAAGAGGAGAACGCGCATACGATCTTGCGGGTGTGTATAAGAAAAAGAGATAGGAAGGGGTGGGGAATGGTGAAGGGAAGAAGAGAAGGGGAGGAACTCGTCTTCTCGGCATGCACATTAAGAGGTCACGCTCCGGCAGGTGGCCGGATTCGTGATTCACTCGGTCGGTCTCTTCGAGCTAGGTGCACGGCTCACTGTCGTGAACAGGAGAGATACCATTCTCACACACACGAGAGCAAAATTATTGTCAAGTAGAGAAGATAACATCCCTTATTCTCTTCTTTTTCTTTTTCTTGTAGAAAAATTAATTATACTCCATTTATTTTTTATTTTTATTTTTTTTTTATTAAACTTATCGAGCAATAGAATTGTTCTTAATATATGTATATATGATTGAACAATGATATATATTTCTAAACAATGGGAATTCGATCTAGTTCTCATTTCTCAGAGAGTAAATTAGATAGATATTCGATTCGAGATGAAAAAGAAATCCCTTTTGGATGAGAAAAGGAAAGAAGGAAGAAGGGTGGAGAAATCGTTCTTCAAAGTCACAACTAGCTTTCCAATTTCCATCGTATTTCCTTGGTATATCTTCTATTTGACCCCTCCACCCTCTACCCTCCTTCCCCAAACTACTCTTTACCACTTTACCTTCTTATCCCTTTCTCTTTGTACGACGACACCAACGTGTCCGTATGTGCCCTCGAGGTCTTACCAGGAGCTCATAAATCTTCTTAAATATCTTCTCTATCTGCCGTGCATCCGAGTACGTGCGGCTTGGTACTACTACTCTCTTTCTTTCACTCTTTCTTTTTATTTCTTTTCTTTTCCTCTCTCTCTCTCTCTCTCATTCTCGTATTCTCAACCTCTCACGGAAGGTAAAAGACCGTGTGGCAAGAGTCGCTGGACAGAACACAGCTGCCGCTTAACAGTAGTTGTAATGGGCATGCAGAGTGCGCGGGAGTGCAATCAGACTTCATCTCGTTGCGAAGCTTCTGAACTGAGAGCATACATCACGAGTATATGCATACGTGTGTTCTTACGAAGCTCCCTGTCACGAGTATAACTTCGTTCATTGTTTCTGCTTTATAACCCGAAGCTTCTCTTCTCTTCTCTTCTCTTCTTTTCTCTTCGTTCCTTCTTCTACTTCTTCATCTTCATCTACCTCCGTCTTTCTTTGTCCGACCTCGCTCCATTTTCTACCCTTCTTTCAATATTCCCCTCCTCCCTATCTCTCTCTCTCTCTCTCTCTCTCTCTCTCTCATTCCCTCCAGATGCAAGTAACGCATTCAAGCAATATATAAACGTTTAACCTCCTTCTTACACGCAACAATTTATTTCGTAACGTTGAGATTATTCTCTACGATTACTTTATAACACCCAACTAACAACGATCGTTCGAATTTTCCTCGCTTAAATAATACTCTTTGATGGTTCTTGGGAGATACCCATACACTATTTGTGGTTGTAAACTTTTTCAATTGAAGAGAAAAAATTCAAATGCGTATGTATGTACACATATAAATACAATACTTACGTAAAAACGTGTATAGTTCGAGTTTAGGGGGGTATATTTTCTTCTTTTCTCCTTCTTTCTCTCTCATATTCCTTCCTTTTAAATCTTCTCGTTTCTTTTTCAAGGCTGTTAAGAAAAAGACAGAGATGGGGCAGTAAGAAGGCAAACGCATGAACACAGCCAACGGTTGCAATTGCACCGCTCACGGGTTTATCTCTCTTTTTCACTCACAGGTACTTTCAATTCCTTTTCTTTCTCTTTCTCTTTCTGGTCATCCCAGGTTCTGTATCTTTTTGTTCGTCGTCTTTCGGTCGGCTTGGCATAACTTGGCTTGGCTTTGCTTGGCTTCACTTGGCTTGGCTTCACTTGGCTTGGCTTCACTTGAGTTAAGTTGAGTTGAGTTGAGTCGAGTTGAGTTGAGTTGAGTTGAGTTGGCTTTAGCTCGAACAATCACGGGTAAGCACACGATCGTGGTTCGTCGCGCGGCACGAGCACGACGTCAGAGTTTGCAGCTGTGCATGGTCTTCTTCTTATTCTTCTTATTCTTCTCCTTTCTTCCTTCCTTCCTTACTTACTCCCTCCCACTTTCAAAGTATCGTCTCCTTTCTCGGATTAAACTCCTTTTTCTTCGTTGTCCTTTTCGTCCTTTTCATTCCTTTTTATTTTTTTTCTCTCTGTTTCTCTCTTTCGTTGGTAGCCAACGAAAGGTTGCTTAAATCGCGAATTCTACACGATCGAAATGATTTTGCACTTTTGATAATATCTCTTTGGATATATTATATATCTTTATTTTTATTTAAAAAAAAAAGGGTTAAAGCTACTTGTGATAAATTTTGTTTTACTCTTTAAGGGGTGGTATATATTATTATATTCAAAAATATATCTGCCAAATATTAAATTGAAATTTTGAAAATTGACCAATTATGAATTATGGTGTAACTTTAGTGAAATCTGATAGCACTGATCGATTAAATAATAGATGAAATTTTAGAATCATTAACCAGGTAGAAAACACTGACAACTTCACGAATATGGTTAATAGAAAATTATAAAAAATAATTTGATTCATTTCATCATAATCGTACGATTTGTTTCGTGTTTCGATGATCATTTCTCAAGTGAAAATGTAAAAGTAAATTTCTTAGCGTTTAAGGTGAATCGTATTATTTTACCTGTACTGGTTCACCTATTTCGTACAGAGTAAAACAGTTGTAGTGGGGGAAAGATAAGTTCGTAAAACGAGGTGAAATCGAATCGTGATTACAGGCGGAGTTGGTCGATGTTTCGAGCACGCCTTTGAACCCGGAAGTTATCGTCCAATTCGTGCAAGAATCCTTTTTCAACGGATCTTTTCTCTTCTTTGTAAAATCTTTTTATTATAAATGAAAAAAGTTCGTAAGATATTAAGGGTCGAAAAAAGGAAATCAAACTTAATCCAATATTGATCAAACAAATTTTCATCTAAGTTTAACTTTAGACCAAAATCGTTTCTAGTAAAAACAATATTTATTTTCTATTAAAAAATATAATTAACATTGTATCTAAATATTCATAATAATAAATTATACTAATAATACTAATGTCTTCTACAGTCAACATTAGACAAAAATAATTTCTATTAATATAACAATATTTTCTATTAAAACATGTAATTAATATTCTATCCAAATATTAATACCAATAAATTATATTAATTGTCCATAACATTTGCTAATGAACCTATCTATGTAAATAGTCACAAGACAAATAATACAGTACTGGATATATTACATATAGATTAGTATACATATATACATTATACGTAATCGATATTTCCCCCTTGGGGTAAACTAATCGTTCTAAAGTAGTTTCTAATCATCGTCCTGTTCTGTTTTCTCTTTGAACATGAGAGTCTGACAGGTCGCTAAGGAAATTTCGCTTATATTCTATGAACGTATCGTGAAACGAAGTAATTAGGAACAGCATAGGAGGTAGATCGTAAAATGGGAAGAGGGAGTTTCAATGTAATACGAGCAGCAAACGAACGTCTCAACCGCGATCGTTACACCGTGTCGCCACGGATAATTGCTTCTGTGTACAACCATAGTAGAGACATATAAATCTGTAGAAATTACGAGCAAGGGGGTGGAGGTGGGAGGAAGAGGTAGGAGGTGTCGACAGGGGTTTGCAACGTCGAAACGATTATTACATCGTACCGGTTCAACACCGTTCATATCCCAATATCGATAAATTATCATGCTATACGAATAGTATTCACCATATGTGTGTGTGTGTGTGTGTGTGTGTGTGTGTTTGTATTTCTCTTGTCTTCGGTATAATAGATGAAACTATTGTCGATAATTCTATCCTTTCGATAGATTGATTTATTTAACCCCTATCCTACTTCGCTCGTTACAAACTTTCAAATAATTATTATTCGTTTATATAGAATATTTTCTCGCGTTATTAAATGGAATATGTAGCAAATTTCACACATTGGTCGAATTAAAATTCTCTTAACATTTTACAAGAAAATATAATATACCAGTTGTAATTGTTAGACTGTAAAATATCAAAACGTTACGAGATTCAATTCTTTTTTTCCATTTATAAAATGTATCAAAATTGAATTAATAGAAGCTACATAAATGCAACACACGCTAAAGTAAATAAAAAAAACAAAACGAGTAATACAATTTTATTGGATTATATTGAAAAAATATGAAAGAAGAGAGTTTTCGCGAAAATAAAAAAATAAAAAAATAAAAATATGAATAAAGTCAATAGAATGGTGTGTGTATGTGTGTGTGTATCATCGTAAACATTAAATATAATATTTTAGTTGTGTGTGTCTCTTTCTCACAGTAGCAGGAGTTAACGCGTTGGAAAAGGTACGTGCAGCTTATCGAGTTTGTGCCATCTTCGTCGCGGGCTAACACCTTGGGTGGCATTTCGTTTAGTTAAGATATCATTGGTAGATCTTGAAACCGTGCGAGAAGGCAAACCGTTTTGTCTCCTGTCACACGACCGCCATGAAGAAAAAGAATAAAAAGAAAAAGAAGAAGAGACTCTAAGAGAGAAACCGTAATTTATATCAAACTTCACTATTATCCTCTCTCTCTCTCTCTCTCTCTCTCACACACACACACACACACACACACACACACTTGTTCTTTATTTCATTTTATTAAATTATACTAACACAAGGAGAATAAATTTATTTGTGAGATTTACTTTCTACGTTCACATACCCGTTGACCTATTGAAAAATTTTATCTTATTTTTATATCCAAGGACTTTCGCGTTCAACGATCTCGAGTAAGAGTTCAAGTAATTACATCGTGTGATGTTTCATTTATTAATTCAAAACTCTTAAAGATTCATTCGATTTAATTACATTCATTAATTATTCGACTTCTATCTCGTTTTCGTTTAATTTCATCATTAAAATCGATATGTCAATATAAATCTCTTACCTTTTTTTCATTTCTTATTATTATTTGATTGTATTATGATTGTTAGATATGATTATTCATTTCATATTGACGATACACTTTTCAAAGATACCGCCATAATGAACTGGTTTTAAAAGCGTGTAATATTTGCATATATACATGGATACATAGTAGACACATATTGAATTATTTTGTAGTATATGAAAATAAAATCTATTTATAAACTTGTTTCACTTCTCGTTCTATCGATGTAAACATGTTTTTCAATGTAGTCAATAGCCGATTGTTTTCGTTCCATTTAAAAGTCAAATGTTAGCAATATTGTAAACAAGATAGGCAAAGAAAATTTAGTTCGCGAACAGTCACCTATTTTAGTGTTTACTGTCGAGTCGGTTAAACGTGTAAGGAATACAAAAGACAATATGGATGCTGCGAATTTTGCATTGGAGTTTAGTCAATTATTAATGCGTTATACGACACCTAGAAAGACAACGATTGAGAAGGTAATGTAAAACGATCATCATCATCATAATTATCATCGTCGTCATCATCATTAATAAAATATTTATCGAATGAGATCAAATTTAATCGTGATTTTAGACAGAAGATACAGATATTTCGAAATTATCTTCGGGAATACCATTATCATCGGAAACTATAATTCAACTTGTACAAGATACTCTTAGTACGATTATACCCGAACCATATGTTCCAAGTATCAGTATCATTTGTAATAAAACACCAAACAATGATATTATTATTAATACTCCAGATGCACCCTTTGTTCAACGAGTTACTGTTAATGGAAATGGAATCATCAGGTTTATCAATATTTTATTTTAATTCATTTTTTTACATTTACTTTATACTTAATATTTATTTTATACATTTGTTAGCGAATGTACAGACAATTTGTCGAATAAATTATCTCCTACGGATAAAAAGGTAAAATTATATAACAAATTTATTTGATTTATATAGAATTTGAAATGAAATTGTCGCGATAACGTTTGTTTGTATTTTGAAAAATGATTTCAATTAGACTACATCGCCGTCGAAATTTAATTTAATAAATAAAGGCAGATCTGGCACCTTTGTACAAGATGACGAAAAGAATACAGATAATACTAATGAAATATTTAAAGAAATTTCTGCAGATTTCTTATTCGAGGGTGAAAATATACCGAGTTCTGTACGTTTGAAATTGGATGCTTTACGCAAATCTGCCGTTGAATTTATTTCACAGATCGACGAGATCAAAACTGTAAACAAGGAATGTAAACAGGTAGAATGAAAATTTATATGATATAATATACAATAACTTATAATTAATCGATTAACATTGAAATATGAATTTATTTTCAAGATATTTTCATATTAATACGATTCGTTTGAATGCATTAAAAGATAAATATGTGAACGCGTGTATCAAACAGGTGGTATGATACACATACGTGGCAGAAAACAAATTTATGATTAATAATTACAATAAAAAAAATATTAATTTTCATTACAGCCACCAATAGAGAAATCGTTGAGACCAATTAGACGATTATCATCAATAGGACATATTCCAGCTGGACGTTCTTTATTAAGACCGGATCAACAACTATTAAAAAAACGAAGATCGTTTATTAATTTTCAAAACACCACACCAACATCATCGAGATTGAATAGTACAATGACATTAAGTCAAAATCTATCGAAAAGGAAAAGTTCGTCATCAACGTCGCTCAATGTAACAACATCTACAGTCTCGACTAAAACTCCAATAATTGCAAATAATAGATCTCGTTCTAGTTTATCTGTGACGGGTTTAAAAAAGTCACCCCTTAGCGATGGCAGACCAGCGAAAAATCCTAAATACGCTCATATTCAAAGTAGTATTCCCAAACCTACCGCAATTATCAAAAGAACTTAAAGACTAATCATTTTTTTTTCTCCGGAACAAAACTATAATTCGTTTTATTATTTTTTATTCGTTTTATTTATTCGTTTATTTATTTTTTGTTTTTTTTTGTTTTCGCTCCATGGACAAAGCGAGTACCACTTTAAAAAGGTGTTCACTTTTATACATTGTAAAATATTTTATAGGATCAAATTTAATTGAATAATATTATTTCGCTGGATCCGCTAATTTTGTTACCAAAGGTTAAACATTATTTAAGTTTTTTTATATATATATATATTATATTTCTTTTGTTCTATTTATTATTCGCATTTCCTTCGTTCTTATTATCAAAATTGTTTTGTCCATTTCAATTTTGTCAATGTATGATAATTGTACTTTAGAATTACTTAATGAAACATTTCTGATATACAATATTTATAAAAATACATATATATATATAGATATATTGTGTAATAGTTAAATAATTGCAATTGTAAGAGACATTTAAATATGCGATTAACGATAATTAAGTATAAGTGTCTATAGAAATGGATTAATTTAATTAAGATTCATTGAAATTTGTATTAAAAGAACGAAAGGAAGAGAGAGAGAGAGATAGAGATAGAGAGAGAGAGAGAGAGAGAGAGAGAGAGAGAGAGAGAGAGAAATGGGCAACGCAAGTCTTGTACCGTTGCCCAT